TTACCTCTCAGCAAGACGAGGCTCAGCAGTTCCGGCTGCAATGACGGAAGATGACTTGACACAGGACGAAAAGGTGCGAAATAGTTTCCGTTTATTACTTAGCTCAAAGTAAGCTCTTGACTAAAAAGATGTTGTTCTAGAAGTTCATACTTTTCAATTCGTCGGGATAGAATGAATGCCATCCCATTGTAGTGTGATTTTGTGTCATGGACTTACGTGTTTCGTGCAGCTCAGCGCTAGTTTTCCGACTGTGTCTTTGACTTAAGAAACTTAATTCTAGTGACATATGTCCTTTATTTAAAACTACTGAGTAGTAATTTTAAGAAGTTTCAGTGATGTATTACCTTGTCTAATAAGAGATATAACGTTTGAGTTAGTCGATAAGTGTGTGCACATTTGATCTAGGTTAATTGAAGTTATTGACTCTTCTGTCTCGTTAAGATTTAAAAGAAGTGTCATTATTCTATTATGCCACAAACGGCAAGGTTTACGATTTTCTAGATGCGTTTCTGCTGACCAATTCATGAACAATGACACAGTATCAAGAATGTTATCCGATGTATTTTAAATCACTGCAATGTTAGGGATCTTGCAAAAGAGCCTTTCCTCGCCCCCGTATGAAAAGTTCAAGTTGTATTCAAAGTAGTTTGCCGATAGTCGGTTAAGAGTCAAAATACTTCTTAGCGGTCGCTTGTTCCATTACATCACAACATAAACCTGCTTCTTAGTATAAAAATTGTGTAGATTATAGTATGGCAGCATCTAGGTAATCCATCATAAATAGACGTGAATACCCATTCCCTGCAAACAAAGAAAAATTACGAGGTTGCTCTCGAAAACAGTCGCTTCCCTGATAACAAGGTGACTATTACAGAATAGATTCCCGGAATATAAACTACAGGGTAATTTCACCGTTATGGGTGACAAGGGCGGTGTGTATTTTCATTAACTCAATTTGTTTGCTTTTCTTACCTTGTGGGCTACCGTGTAGCATGAAAATTTTGCGGGAGTTTTATTTTGCGGATTGGCGATTTTTTCTGGTTTGCGGGAACAAATTTTTGCGGTTCGAGATGACAGAAATTTCTGGTGGGAACTAATTTTTGCGATTCTCTGTTCAAGTGGCAGAATAGTTAAGTGGAAGAAACCTTAATATGGTATCTTCAACTTTCATTTTACGGACTATGTTGAGTCAAAGTTCACTTTACTTACATATTTAATGGAGAAAAATACGGTAATCACTGTAATATCTTACTGCACAAAAGGACTGAACAACAGCAAAACAAAACAAAAGAATATCCCTACCATACACAACAAGTCCATTAAAAGCAGAGTTTTTAATTTGACTGAAGGGAGTTAATTTTTGCAGCGTTTTATTTTGCGTGTTTTTTTTTCTGCGGGAACTAAGCAAAATTTTCATGCTAGACGTTATACTACTAAAGAGCAGGCCGATGGGAGGGATATTCCAGGGTTAATATGCAACAAGTGAAATCTACCCTCTACCTTCACTATCCACTTAAAACATGTATGTATCGCACGCCTTGTAATCTCAGCAAAGACTGCAATAGACCAACAAATTGTTAACCTGTTCTCTGTGGCCACAGGGAAGCCACACTTCAGAGGTGATAGTTTGTTCCTCAGTGTTGAGGAAATGTGGAAACCATAAGATCTTTCTCAGTTGAACATTACATCTGTGATTCGCGATCCGTTCAGATTGTATGACGTCTGAAGGATATTCCTTCTCTTTGTAATAGCAAGGTGCTTACACTTTTTTTCATCAGAATAATCAGTAATAATTCTATAACATTTCATGTCATCTGCATATAACGGAACTGTAGTACTAGCGTCAGTAACACTTGGGGCACTGTTTATATAGATGATAAACAACAACGGCCCCAAAATGGACCCTAGAGGTACATCAGACAAAACAGCTTGCCGAGGAGATTGCTATCCATCAATAACTGTCCGTTGCCAGCGATCTGTCAAGTAGCTTCTAAAACAGGGTAGCAAATTCCCTCTTACACCAACAGCAAACAACTCCCTCAGCAAACAGTTAAATGATACATAGTCAAATGACTTGCTTTAATGTGATTTTTTTCATCCAGTGCTTTGACAAAGTCATGTGTAGATCTAAGAAGACTGGTAACACACGAGCGCCACCTTACAAAACCATCCTTTAGGTGGTAAATCTTAGGCTGAAAAAAAGTGGAAAAAACGTTAGAAAATACACCTTTTACCTTTGTCGATCTTGACTGAATACTGAATTGAAGTAGTTGTTAAAAAGCTCAGCCTTTTCTTGTGCATCATACAGTTTAACACCGTTGCGTTAGACAGAGGAAGGGAGTCTTCTTAACTATATATACAAGAAACAATTGGACACGATGTCCCCTACAAGGGACCCTACAAGGGGGAAACCAACCCCCCATAATTGAACACAAAAAAGAGGAAACTATCTGGCCAAGTTCTGAAGTATAAGAGAAATTTAACTACAATTCCTATTTAAAAATAATAATAATAATAATAAAAAAGAAACCCTTTCGGCTAACAGTCTCCAGCTTAAAAAGCCTAACTGTTACGTTAAAGAGAAAGAGAGTGAAGGGACCGTGGAGGCAAAATATAACAAAAAGGCCTCTAATTTAGGATTTTCGAGCAAAGCAACAAAAATCTTCACATACTGAACAAATCAGAATCAGTCGCCAGTGGGCGGTTTATAACACGACGCCAGGGTGAATACACGACACGCTGAGAAGAGTTTGTACAAACCGATTGTGGTCCGTATTAACTCGGTATTGGAGTAGTTAATTTGAATTTTGATTCACATAATAAGCATTATAATTGAAAAAAAAAAACAAAAAAACAAATGACTTGCACCTGACTGACCTTATTCATTAAACTTGCGTAGTTAAAAGTCTCTCGGTTTGTCGTCGATAGGAAAACATCACGATTTTTTTAGCTGGTTTTTTAAAACAAAAAGGCTCTGGTTTCATTTAAAAACTTCATATCACCTATCTAACTTTCTGGCAACCCAGTACCTGGTCAAGAAAACCTCAGCAGTTCAAAAAATCCTTGTAGCACTAGTTAGTCGGTCGTCAGAGTTAAGTAGATTCTAAACGGTGGTCAATTTAGGGCTTCCTGTCTTGCAAATCTCTTAAACTTTCTCTCACTTAGAAAGTAACCCAAAACATGTGAAATATTAGGGCCATTTATACGAGGAAAAATAAGACGGGAACTGTACCATTTATATGAGCATGTCTTATCTAAGACGAGAACAGCTCGGTTCGCGTCTTATTTCTGTTCTTGACTCGTTTTCATGTGAATATTGTCCATAGCAACGGCAATCCAATGTGGCGTGCCAAAAATTAACGCATGCGTTCTATGCGTTCGCGTCTTATTTAAGACGCGAAGGTCATTTATACGAAGTTTTTATTGTCTTAGCTAAGACGCGTCTTATCTAAGGTGCCAAGGGCTGTTCTAAAATAAGACGCGTCTTAGCTAAGCCGCGTCTTATTTAAGACGCGTCCTATGTAAGACGCGTCTTATTTTTCCTCGTATAAATGGCCCTATTAAGCACCTTCAGTCAAGTAGATCCAAGGTCTTTCTTAATTTGAATTAATGTTTCCACAGCGATAGTAGCGCCATTTATACGAGAAAAATGGTTAGCGTCTTATTTCTGTTCTTGACTCGTCTTCATGTGAATGATGCCCGTAGCAACAGCAATCCAACGTGACGCGCCAAAAATTAACGCATGCGTACTATACGTTCGCGTCTTATGTAAGACGCGAAGGTCATTTATGCGAAGTTTTTCTCGTCTTAGCTAAGGTGTTAAGGGCTATTCTAAAATAAGACACGTGTTAGCTAACCCGCGTCTTATTTTACACAAAATGTGCCGTTTATACGGAAAGTTCGCGTCTTTTTAAGACGCGTCCTACGTAAGACGCGTCCTATTTTTCCTCGTATAAATAGCCCTAGTGAGTCCAAAGCGTTCTTGAAAGACAAAGTTCATCCCATGTTATTCCTTACTTGACTCATGCAGCGAACCTAAAGTCTGCTTCTTCCTTTTCCCGTTTTAGTTTATTTTCCCCCTTATGTTTTGTTCAAAGAAGAATATGATTTTATGTTAGCTTCACTGTTTTGCTCATTATTTTCATGCATTGCTAAACACCTTTCCTCAGATGCTATTAGCGACAATTGTGTTCGGTTAAAACGTAAAGTTCTTTTGATAAATCCTTGTTTTGTACGACTGCGGATGTGTCAAACTAAGTTTTCGTTTAATTTTTGATGCCAGCTTGTTCCTCAATTTTTAGTCTAAATATTGTCAAAGTTTTCTTTTGAACCTATATTTAGTGGTATTTTAACAATAGTCATTACGAGGTTGATTCAAAAACGACTCGCTTTTATTCGTCGTTCAATTAATATCCCGATTATTGGATAGTCAATTATTTATCAGAAAGGCATATGTTTCTGTGGAAAACTACTGTATTTAGTTTATCGGTTCCGAAGAGATTTACTCACCATATTCTTGTATAACCCGTCATTTTATAAAATTTTCTATCAAACGGAGGTTTTTAAAAAAAAACGGAGAAGTGCGCTACAAACCGTAGCCTTAGCGGGGCATATTTACCATGGAGTTTCCTGCAATACCAACAAGTCGGTCTCGTTCCGGTTCAATAAGTTGTCGTCCGCACGGTGGGTGGATAAGCGATTCGGAATACTTGGGAGAGATATCTTTGCTGTGTAATGAAGTAAGTTGCTTATTTTGCTGTTATTTGTGGATTTTATTTGTGTCTTTTAATGTGCTTAAGCATAAGATCATTAGGGTGTGAACTTATAACTAGTATCTTGCTGATCATCAAAGGTTTTGACTTAGTGGCAACTCATAAATCAATCATCAAGGGGAAAAATTTTTCTCCTTACAAAAGTCATACAAACTACATAGTCTAACGACGAACAGGATTGTGCTATTTCTAGGTACAGTATTATATAGATATGGGGTATAACATAGGGACTTGCTAAGATCAGAAATTTCTTATTCAGAGTTTACCTCCACATTTAACGGATGAGCGGAGCGAAAGAGTCAGATATCCTAAATATCGTATCTCTTAGTAGCTAAATGCTTCTTACGAAAGAAGTTTAGGTAATGCCGAGTAGTCTCTGAAGTTTTCCGATGATTCTTCGAAGCCTTTCCAATGTGTTCGGTCAATATAGTCTCCTTCGCAGCCGTTATTAGGGTCGTGACGAGTGACGACCCTAATAACGGCTGCGAAGGAGACTAGTCAATATACGGAATTTCGAAACGTGCAAAGCTTTCTACTAATGACGTCTCAAATTTCTGGTCCCTGCTGTGACTCAGACATTAAACCTGACCAGTGTAATGTATCGGTCAAATCGAAGCTTCAACATGCCCAATCCCCCGGGCATTTGACTTTTTTGAAAATTATTGTTCAAATTCCCCCCTACCTGGGCCAAAATACCGTTCAAATGCCCCACACCAGGGTCCATTCAGGTGATCAAATGCCCCCACCCCGGGGACATTTCAAAGGCACAAAAATGACAGAAAGACGGTGGAAATGCTTTCAGTTGTCAAACAAAATCTTTATAAATATAACAAAAACTGAGAAACACTGTTAGCGTATTTACTACGAACAAAAGTCTCGTGCAAAGTGGCGGAAATCGCTGCTACAATGCTCAGCTTTTTTTCGTCATGCAACATACAAAGCGTTCTATAAAAAAAGATCCCACCTATTGAGATTACTACGTGACATGCATCATCGCTCACCTTATTAATTAACATACTTGCAGTAGGTCAAAGTAGTTGACCTGAGCTTTTTATTTTATTTTATGTTGTTGTATTGAATCGCCGGTATAGGTATTGTTTTTCATTGTAAACACAACAATAAAATACAGTCATACATTCAAAGCCTGAATCCAATATTAAAAATTTTAAAATTTAAATACTTCAAATACGGCACAAAGCTTGTTTAAGCCCTTTCCTCGTAACCAACTGGCCACAAAGGCACAATCTTTTCCACGAAAATCCTCTAACACCGCGTCCCCCATGATAGCTCGCCACGCCAAAGATTTTACATGAAATCGAGGGTGCAGTTCAAATCCCCCACCCCTAAAGCATGGGGATCAAATTCCCCACCCCCTGGAAGACTCTGATAATCAAGTTCCCTCCTCCCCGGGACGGCAAAGGTGTCAAATGCCCGGGGTATGCCCGGGGGGGGGGGGGCATGTTGAAGCTTCGATTTGACCGATACATAAGAGTTTAGTATGGGAAAGTCACGTTCGGCAACAAATTTTCGTCGTCTTTGAAGATGTTTATCGTTAAAGGAAACAAATCCAGCTTAGTTTTAATAAATATCCTGAAAATAATCAACGCGTGCCAAGACAGCGTTAAACGTGGAAAAAACTGTACAGATGAGTGGTTTTATTTCTTATGCGGCATCATAATGCTGTGGGTAAAATTCTGTTAAGATCGGTGAGGGTAAAAGCCGGAATGAGTTTGCAGAATGGCATGGGTCAATTATAGCCTGCCACGCAGGCTATAATTATGCGGAATTTAATATACGCAGCTGAATGATCCAAAGAAATATATTAAACTGAAAAGAGCGCCCTTTTTTTGGCGCCAATCAATTTGCAAACGCAGCCGCTGTTTTAATGTTAAATAATAATGACAATCAAAAAACCACGAAGGCTCATTGTCGACCAGCCTTTTCCGCACAGCCAAAAAGATTCTTCGTCTATCGAAGAAAAGATGTTTTCGAAAGTCACGCCCCCTTCTACTTTAATTTTTTCCTGCAAAAGATGTTTGTACGATTAAATTAACAGTTTCTTGTTACCTATATTTGTATTCGAAACCGTGTGAGAAGTGTTTCTTTATGAGACTGTGGGTTACGTGATCGTGACATAATTGATATAAAAACTGAATCATTGGATAATGCAATTCCAGCATTTTGATTGGCTTAGCCGTTATGGTATATGAGCTATTATACCATGCTCTCCATATATGGTCGGTGTACGCGTCAGTTTAAAATTGGAAGCTAGCTGGACTTTTTTTCGCGAAGGACAGAACGGCGCCCGAAGCAAATTGTTTTAATTCATTTCTTAGAATACTAGAAATGCAATTTCATCGAAAAAAAAAAGACAAAAACAAACAAAAAAGCCACAAGAGCTTGTTTGAAAGCTCGTCGAAAAACACATGAAAACACATTGAACTAAAGTACCTTGACCAGCTACGAAAGAAGACAAGTGTTGTTTCTTCATGATCGCGAAGCCATTCGCCGATCGAGTCACTCGCCGATAGATAACTACGGCTTGTTTATCCGTCATCAATAATATACATGACAAGTAACCAGCTACAAATACAGGCTATGCAGCCAATCACTAGAGCAATCGAGGCGGAAGTAGAGCTTCTTTTCTCGTTCAGCAAAACCAGCTTGTGGCTTCAAACAACTTCATAACAAGCGACCGAGGTAATAGTTTTTTTCCGTTGTTCTTACTTTTATAAGAGAAACTAAAAAAAAAGCTACTCATAACAGACTACGCTAAAGTAAAAAAAATAAAGAACAAAAACGGTTGCAACCACACGCAAACCATGACAGCTACACTCTTCAGGCATTTAAATGAACAAGGATTATTCAATGATAACAACAGGGATTTCAAGTCATGTACGTTATTTGTTGCTCTCTTTGAGACTTTTGTGGAGCGAAGACCTCTATTAAAACATCCATGTGATGGTCTGTTTTTTTTTCTACCTCAGTAGCAAACGAAACTGAAAATTTAAACTTCTGGTCCAAACTAAACCAATGGGTGAAAATACCACAACTCACACAATGAAAAGTATCCGTAGCTGGTACTAGCCTTAAAGAAAGTGAGAAAAAAGTTTACGAATCATTGTGCAAGAAAAACAACATGCAGTCAGGTGAAGAAAGCAAAGATTGTAAGTTCAGAACATATCCTCAGTGTCACAGGCCACAGAGGTATAAATTTCCTAAACGATGAAGCCGACGAAGAAGAGCTACGATGAATCTACTGCACCGAAAATCCAAATTCACAGTAATTTTCCTTCACATTATCTGCCAGGTTTTTTTTAGCTGTTCTGCTGTGTAAAATCCTAGAATCTCGATGAGTTTTTAAAAAACTAATGTTCATCGCTACAATGTTTTGATTTTTCATTCATGCAGTCCGGGCGAGTCCGTTCGCGGGTTGACAGTTTTGATAGACGTGTGACATGTGAATAGCGGAAGTCCCTTGTCTTTTCCGGTTTGTTCTAGTCGGGGAGATTCGACGAGATTTTGTGGGCGTTTTTAAAAAAACAAGCTTTAAAATGAGGGATAGGTTTCCAGGATAACAAAAATTTAAGTTCGTTACTCATTTTCGACGGCAATATTTAGTATGTGGTATAACTCCAAATTCTCTTCTTGCTATTTAAATCACACATTTGGACATTCATTTAAAACATACCTGGGAATTGGCTTGGGTAAGTGAAGGAAATCTCTGTAAGACACCATCGAAGTTTAGGAATTTTCATGGTAGGCTGGCGGTCTTTTTGTAACGCACATGGCGCACATAAATAGATATTTACAGCCTAAAGGGTCGTTTTTCGTACGTCTTGTAGGTTTTCCCTTTGCAAAATTGCTTTTTTCAATCAAAGAATGGGGTAAAAAGGTGAAACTCGGTCAATTTTAGCCATTTTGAAACACTGAACTTTACCTGCCGGCGACTCTGCGTGACAGTCTGTTCCGTGACTGCACGTGGTACAACGTACGTTTGAAGAGATGGAGCTGTTAAAATGACAGTCACGAAATCAAGGTAGTAACGCAACGTAATTCTTGATCGAAGGAGTAACATTTTCGGTGCCGACAGTATTTTGAAGAAGCAAAAAATCAAACGCACAAGTATTCTGGTACTCACTTTCTATCGAAAAATAAGGACTTTAACAATGGTAATTCGCTAAGGATAACAGAAAAAGAGGATATTTCGTCTTGTTACTTTACAATCGAGGAAACTAAGTTATTTTGGTCACGCCTCACTATATTTACCGGACTTCAATGCTTTCGTTTGGAGGCTACCCTCAGGAACCCTAGCCAATTCTCAGGTATGTTTTAGATAAATGTCTATAAAATGTGTGAAGCTCACTCAAATTGGCGCCAAAAAAGGATCGGCAATGACGCGCGCATGCCTTTTAGTTTAATTTATTTCTTTGCGCCAATTTCCATATTTTACATTCCGCATAATTATGTCATTCCTCAAGCCATGCCACATGCCATTCCGCAAACTCATTCCGCCTTTTACCCTCACCGTGTTAAGATGTGTGGAGAGAAGGGCTTCATAGCTGTGCGTGAAACGGTGCATTTGGTTAAATTTATGGGCAAAAGTTGCTCAATTTTTTTTTTTTCAGTGCTTGTGTTACGCTTCTTAGTACTACAGGATATAAAGTACTAAAGTATTGCTTCCGGATTCATATGGTCTACCTGGCCTCACAACAACAGAACAAACTTATACAATTTCCGGTTTGTGCTAATATTGGTGTGCTTTTCACCTTAGATATTCTGTCACAGGCTTGCGAGAAGCACATGCAAACTCGATTTTCTCTTTAGCAATTTCGGTTTTGGAGTATTACACAGCCAATAATGTTATGTCATGTTTCAGTGCATAGCGGTGCTTTCCGCCTAAGACACAGAGCTAGGGATCCGATTTCAGTGGCGTTCTTTGATCCAGTCACTTTATTTTCTGATTTTAACCATTTATTAGTGTTACTGGACCAGGTTTTGCCCCTATAGCAGTAGTGACTTTTATATATTGCAATTATGCTCAAAAAAATATTTTAAAAACGCTCACTGCGAATTTTATGAACAATTTTCATGTCGGAAACGTATGTTTCCCATACAAAGCCTTGGAGTAGAATGCAAAGTTTGTCTGAGTCACTCGGGAGGTCTAAGGTGACAAAACCTATTTTATGTAATAGTAGAAAGCGCTATTGATCGGATGCAGAGTCTTGTATGTAGACCAGATGCTGTTAATTTGATTGATACTTGGTAACGACAAATATGGTGTGGCTACGATTAGGATAGTCATATTTTGTCTACTAACAGTCACAGAATGTCTTAATAATATGATTCTTTTCTTTAACGACTGGTCCTATAGCATTTTAAGAAAATAATTATAAGGTGAATGCCGGAATGTTCAGCAGACCTGACTTGATCTTGGTTAGATTAAAAAAAACATCTCGTACGTTCCCCCGGGCACTAGTGCGACAGGTTTTTTTCCTGCCAGAATCTTGAATGAAATGCATCTAATTAAGACATGATAATGCCTTAGTGTAATATATGAAGGGAGGGGTCATTTATATCATTTAATACGAAAGTGAATTCGAGTCTTATTAAAAAGTGGTCAACTTCATTGACAGTGTAACATCAATAAAGGAGGCTGGTGGGAATTCACTGAACAACTGAACGTTTGTATTATAGGTATGATGTCCATTAATCAATCGTTAAACGCAAAATGAGCGATAACCTTATGAAGCATTAGATATCATATCGTCCATAAAGCACAATGCTTTGCATGGAAAACAAATGATTTGAACATTAAGGAACACGAATCGCATTTATCTGCTCACGATGGTACTCAGAACCAAGGATATTTTTTTGCGAAGCAATGTCCTTTTAATTTAATGGTTGCCAGTTTTATTGTTAGTATTTAATATTCATCAGATGTAAAGTGTCTGTATAACAGTCTGCAGATAAGTTTGCTTGAGTTCCTCACAGACAATAATGTCTTAGCTTATTTGATCATCGAAATGAAAGATAGATCCCATGCTTACTGTAACCTGAGATCAGACCCAATTTTAACGGTTTTCATACATTCTCTCTAACGGCCAGCGCTAAAATTGGGGCTCTCTTTTCGTTTCGCCATGCCCGCCGGAATGTAATTTTCAAAGCGAAACGAAAATAGAGCCTGATCTCAGGTTATGCTTACTGTTTCTGTGGTGCATAAATTGGGTCTTTTATCTATACGGTAGGAGAACCGGCGAACCCTTCTGGTCCGTGTTCCTGTTAACGATATTTAGCGTCATGAATTTTGAATCTTTTAAATTATGATTTCGGAGGTCATTTATTATCAGTGGCAGGCGAGAATGGTGCTTTTTGAGAAATTAGAGTTTCTAACAGACATGTTTCACTGACCGACTTATATGCAAAAGAGTATTTTTTTCTCAATTTAATGAATAAATCATTACTGCTCATTATCTTGCTCTCTATTTCACACCTCATATTTACGCAGCTGTTTTCCCGAAACGGGGACACAATAAAACGAACCACCCACTCTTATCTTATCATTTGAACTAATCCTGACATCCTCGAAAGATCTAAAATGTCAAAAAAGTTGCAGCATCCTTTTCTTATGCAAATAAAGCGGAAACTTGCTGAGATAACGAACAAGTGGGTCTTTTTATTGTTTCATTAATGCGCACCACGATAGACTCAGTCTTGGAATTAAATTATATTAGGCAAGAAAATCAACAAGAGTAATATGGTTTTAGTGAATCCTATGTTAAGTTTTAATATTGCAATAGGACATTTTTTTTCTCATTAAAAGTTTTTGGCTTCAAAAAAAAAAAAAAAACAGCCGTAAAGCGTAGGTGGGTACCACTTGCTAACCGCTTAAAGTCATAAGTGCTAAGAGACGCATGCGCATTGAAATGACTCCGTCTCGAATAATTAATCGTCGTTGACACAAGTTTTGGGTTGTCGCCTCGGTCGAAAGATGAGTAGCTGGCGACCATTTCCTAAAATAATGCACTGTTGCCAAAGGGTCTAAAAATAATCACCAAGGCGAGAGAAAGATTTTTTTAGACCGCGGTGGAAGTGGGCTGGCAAGCGTGTTGGGAATTTCGCCCTCAGTTTGATGGCATCAAGCTAGTTAGCTATAATGTTTTCTAGAAGCTCCGCACCGGGAGGAAACCCTTCAAGCCGGCGGCAGTCTCTTCGACCACCCAGTCCAGGATCAGACGGATCTTCAGTACCGTTGGCGCAGTCTCGGAGGGGCTCTAAAGTGTTATTTGATACCAAGACGCCTCCGTCTATTCTAAGATGGGAGATTCTTAACCGCGTCCTAGCGCTCTCCGTGAAAGGAGATTGGCCTGCAGTGGATCAGCACCTAAATAATCTGGAACGAAACAACATGGAAATATCATCAACAGAAATCGAAGTAAAGATGGATATATTGATTCAGAGTGTAACAAAGCAGCATAATACTAACCGAATCAGATTAATGAAACATCAATTGAAACTCCGACTCAAAAATGCCAATTCATCCTCTCAATATTGAGGCAGTGTTTTTTTTTTCTTAACAAAAATTTACCTCTAATTTCTCTGTCGTTTTTCCTTAAATTTTTTATACTTAGTAGTTTTTAAACAAGAAATATCAAGAGTCTTCATTCTAAACGAACTGACCGCCATAGAACTTAGAACGGAGGCATTCTTTTTATAATTATCTTTTACAATTGGTCTGGATTTCTGAGATTGGAAAGATATCCTTTTCGCGGCAGATAATCAATCATCTATCCTGCGAAGTCGCTTTATGTGAATAGAAACTCGTTTAAATTTATTTATACAGGAGAAATACGTTGCTGTGAGACAACGTTGCCTAGATCGTAGAATTTAGGCAGCATTAAATATGTTTGCATCTAACCAAAGTTGTTACATTAACTGGTCCATGCTGCTGAAACTGTTTCCTGGTACATTCAACGTACATTTTAAGAGAATTAATATACTTCTTGGGTCTAAGCTTCGAAAAGTATATATTTTTTGCTCCTAAGGAAACAATGATTAGAGAGCTCAAGCAGTTTATTGACGTGCCAAATTCGTGAATTGATAGGTTTTTATCGCAGCCAGTCTTAGAAGACAGAAGCTAGTCGCTTTAAATATTTCTTCGTTTGGGGCTACTGTTTGGCTCGCAGTCGTGCTTACTAAAAACCGATTTACTGATTCAACAAGGCACATTTTGTATGTGGTCAATTTCTTATAAACGTTTCTGCAGTTTTGTTCTTTAGACTCTCGGCCAACAAAAAAAAAAAGGCAAATGCCTTTTTTAATTTAGTTAACTGGCGGCCTTTAAAAGAGTCTCCATGGACAACAGAATCGGCTAAGGCATCGGAATAATGAATATTGAACTGGCTGTAACATTAATAGTTAAGCCGTAATGTGTTGACTGCTGATTGCACAGTTCTTAATTCGGATAATCGTCTGCAGCAAGGGGCCGTGTGTTTTTTCTTTCACTTTTTGCTAAAACTGACATGCTCTCTAAAATCCCAAAAGTGCGTGTTGGTTATTTTTTGCTGCTTTACTGCATGGTTTCACAAAACGATTCCAGCGCGGACTAGTTTACTAACGCTCTCACTTCAATTTTATTTCTTCTTTTAACAGGACAACGGTCTTACGCCGTTGATGTTAGCAGCCCGCGACAACAAACACAACATTGTCGAAAAGCTTCTTGAATTGGGGGCTGTGGTTACTGACCGAGATAAGGTACGTTTTTTCGGTAACGCTTTTTTGCCAACAGAATTCATTTTTTAATAATATACGAACGCCGTCAACTTAGCTGTCGTTTTGTCAGCTTTTTCATATTAAAAAAAACTGACTTTTTTCACTCATATTCTAATTACGGAACTGAAAGATTTATCGCAGAAATTCTTGAGACCGGTTATGAAGTTTGTTATTCCAGCACAGTGTGTATGTTAAAGATCGAGTCGTGATTCTAAACACGGGGACGATTTTCCAAGCTTTTATGTATTGCGGGTTTTCGTTGTTTGATATCCTTGCTAATTAGGACTGCAAATGGAAAAAAGTTAGCATTCCGTAGTGGTTTGTGTTGTAAGTTAAAATTAAAGCGTTTTTAAAGGTTTCGGTGATACATTGCTGTAAACATTTACCGGAAATTTGGTATTTTTTTGTATTTTTCGTGCCTCAAATTTCATAAATTATAATGATGCACTTTTTGTTTGCTTCGTTGCCTTTGTTTTAAGTTATGCTTGAAGAAAAGAACGCCAAAATTGAATTCCTTACATCAACACAGCTGACCCTAAGTCAAAGAAATCAGCTTCTCTAAAAAGCATGGGAAAATGTATATAACCGACGGGTTTTATTCCATAAAGTCGAACCTCTACTTCTGTTGATAAATATCCTTGTCAAGTTTCTTGTTAATTAAGACCGAAAATGCGGTGTACCGCAATTTAACTCGGTACTTCAATTTAAATGTGAGGTTCAAATGTTTATGTCGTATTTAATTTTAATCTCCTTCGCATAATTTATCCCTGGATAGCCGTTCTTACTGTTAATATTGACATATTATATTTGTTTCTGAGAAGGGAAGACTCCGCGTCTACCGCATGCTCCGTTTGGTTTTGTTTTATCATAGCTTTATTATTTAAACTCCTTTGTTTTGAGTGAAATTTCCAACCGCGTGGCAAATTGTTTATTAAACAGCCGCATGGAGTTACTTTATTCCTTGGAAACCCACTTTAGCGCTTGTTCACTTAAGAGCATCGATCACGTGGTTTGAGCCTAATTCTTCCCCCAAAAGTGTTGTTAAATGAAACATTCTCAAAGCTCTTACTTTCCGAACCAAAACAAAGTGTTGCAAAGTTAAAAGAAAATTTTGCTGAGTACCTTTCCCGGCTTTTTATATATGTATATATGTATATAATATAGGATTGAATTTTTTTGTCACCTTGGCGATATTCTTGTTTTAATTCCTGTTGGATTAGATACAAGCTTCTGAAAAATCGGCTATCATTGTGCGTTACTTAACTTTCTTTTCCTTCCTCAAAAAAAGCAAAATATTCTTTATAATAACTTTCTTATAGTGAATAAAAGGTAAGAATCTTTTGCGCTATTTCTAATACATAACGGAAAGCCGTCTTGCAAGAAACGGAATAGATACCATTTTTGTAAATCTATACACAGTCCAACTTCGTCGATGCTGTTAGCTTTTTTAGGTTTGTCATTAAAAAAACCACCTTTTGATGTACATTTGTATTTACATGACAGCCTTGCCATTCTGTGACAGTTTATAATAAATTGTAGCTGTTTGAGTTACTTTTTACCGACAAAAAGTATCCGCCTTTTGAAAATATGTTGTGCGTAATGGTCTTTCAGCGAAATGAAAAATCGCTCCGTTTGCTAACGAAGAACGCAAGAATAATGATTTGTTTACTTAAACTCTTCTACTTTCTTTTTATTAACTAATGCAGAATAGACATTGGTACCTGAAACACCTGCGGCAAATATTGCTTTTAACGCCGAGACCTGAGTTCGTCTAAAATATGAAGTTTTAATCGATAATGAACTAGATGTTATAAGCTACAGAAGTAAAATGAGATTCTTATCTCGTTCACTCTTAGTTTTCTGTTAATTTCTGTTTTTTTTTCAATCTCAAAATTACTTCCATGAAGAATTACATTCGGTCAATTTCTTGGAATCTACAAAAACCCTAACAGATAATCTCTCCCTGAAAATGACCTGTAGTTAGTAGATTTAACACTTCTTAAATTCCTTTTTGTCGGTCAAATGTTAAGTGAACTCCGCGGTTTAACAATAGTGATTTTAATTTATTGGGGGTTGAGTGGTGAGAGAAAAAAGCTTTTCTGCTTAAGCAAAATTTCACATTTGATTGATAAATCAAGATGTGCATGGAGCGGAAAATCATGAAATCCAGAAAACCTTTCCTGTTTAGGCTGATGAAGACAAAATTCGCTGATTTCGTGTGCATACATACAGTGTTAGTTTTATCTTCGAGAAAATCGCTGGGTGATAATCAAAAGTAACTACAAACGAAAGTATATTTTGTTGCAGGTATTTGTTCAGTTTGGAAGTCCGACATCAATATTTTTCCATGCACCTCACAAGAAAACTTTCTTGCGCATGTAGAAAATCGTCGGGTATTTTCACTATAAGATTAAAAAATGCAGTTCATTAGAAGGCAATAAGCTCAATACAAAGTCTTTTTGGCCTGAAAATTTGATTTAATGACTGATGTTCTTAATATATATTTTTTTTTTTGAGGTCCTCTGTGCTATTGTGCTTATAATTTTAGGTACCAAACGCTTCAGCAGACTTAAAACGTTTCATGAGCCGAGCGTTTCTGTTAATTTGGAACGGCTCAGCTGAGAATTTTGACCGGCTTTGATTCAGACGCCGAACCTGATGTTTAACTGATTATTGCATGTTTAGCAAGAGCTCATATTTTTTTTTAACCCCAAACTCTATAGAGTGTGTTGCCTGAATCCACAGGCATGCTTTTAAGCGGCCTAAATTCGAATCATTATTATAAGCTCCGCGTCTTAACTGGGCAATTTAATTCTCGATGGATTTCCCGGCTTTACCGCTCTTATAGTCAGTTAAAAGTTTGATCAAACACCAATTCCGGCAATCTGTCTCTGTTCTCCGACAGCAGAATCTCACGCTTTGTCTTCGTCTCTGTCATTTCAACAGTCATGAGTAGAAAAGAGATCTCTTAAACCACACTTGTCGCCACTTAGTGCGGCACTGTTCAAATCTCTTTTCCAAGGTACAAATTATTAGCAACTTTCATGCCTGATAAAATATCTTTCCATTTCAAATCCACTAAAGTTGTCTTTTCTAAATTTTTCGATCTTTGACTCTGATATTTTGAAGCGCCGTTTTCGTTTTAATTTCTAAAGTTTATTATCTAGATCAATTATATTTATATTTGCCTTTGAGCTCAAACTGAAAAAGATAATCCATCATATTTTGAGCCGAATCCCTGACGTGGGGAAAAAATTAAAAAAAGCAAAACAAATATCATTCATTTTGTCTTGTCGTTTTGCCTTTCATTTCCTGAAGCTTTTCAATTCACGTTTGTCAGTTGTCTTTTGCTATCAGAACTTTTCAAACTTACTTAGTAAATGAGCAAAGACAACGTCAGCCAAAACTCAAACATGAAAAACAACTCGTTCTGTTTCGTTAGAGCCCTGTTGTTGAACAATAGAAACTATATCTCTTGGGTAAAACCTTGTCTAGCAGATAGTATTTGTTTAAATCATGCATTTCACTTATGCGTAGTGATCAGGCTATATCTAGGCTATCTTTGATCAGCTATGAAAGTTCATCAGCTGCTTCGTCTAAAAGTATTCACGGAGTAACCTTTTTATTAAAGAATTTGTGAATGCGTGATTGAATCGCAGAGTGCGATAATTTTTTTTTGCAATAAAATGCTCAAAAAAGTGCACTCCCTATAACTGATCAGATCGCGCCCCTTGTCAGCGGCCCGTGCGTTATCGAGGTATTTCGCGCAGATATGGACGTCATTTTAAAAAATAAAGCAAACTAAGTAAATTCCAATTCTTTCTTGGTCCTTTTAGGACGTCAATGGGATTAAGATGCGGATTTTTTCTCCTTATCTTTGGTAATTTCTTCTTCTGAACCACTAATGACCAAAAGTAAAAGTAATATGTCTTGCATTTGTTTTATTAACTATTTGCTATGGATTAAAGCTGACTTATATTCTTGTTTCTAGGGAGGCCATTCCGCTTTACATTATGCCGCATTTTCAGGCTCAGACGGGATTGTTAAACTTCTTCTCTCCAAAAAGGCAGATGCTACTCTTACGGCAGGGGTAGGCTTTTTAGCTTTTGCCAGAAACTTGACTGTCAAGGTTGCTTTCCCTTCCCCCACCCCTTCCCTCCCCCTCCCCCATCCCCACCCCTCTTCTGTGCCTCAATGGCAAGAACAGTCGCCAATGTAGCGTGGGTTCGAATCCCGAAAGCAACGCTATATGGTTGAGTTTGTCATTGGTACTCGCCTATGATGTCCCTAGAGAATATTTCTGCGAAAACCCCAGTTTCTCCCTCTCCTCTATCATAAGCGCAAGCATGCATTTCATCTTTGGTTCTAATATTAGAGTAACCATGTTTTAGTCACGTTTTTACGTTTTACCATGTCTTTGTATTCTGTTTTTCCCAATTGTTTCTTAGCCGGAGGAACAACTGCCCCTGCACATGGCCTGTAGCCGCCCCTCTGGCGCAGTGGAAATTGTCAAAACGCTACTGAAGCCTTCTGGGAAGGATGCCAAACTTGCTACTGATAAGGTAATGAAAAGTGACTGGTTCAAGAATTAATCCTCCCTTAACTTCCTAGATCGTCCAACCACTTTCAAGGGGTTTTGTCATGGCAGTCTAGTCTAGTTTGTTTCGAACAATAACTCGGCCCTTTCTCGCTACGGAACTTAACGTTAGCAAAGCAATTACTTGTAAGAGATAAAACCGCACAACTTCGTGATGAACAAGTACGTCTACCAAGTATCATGTTTAAAGTTACAAATAACGGATATAAACTTTGAAAAACTGTCAAAAGAACAAGGTTTCAAACATCTCTGATAGCAATCCGTTTTCATCTTCTTTAATTTTCTTCATTCGTGCTCTCTTTTGAATTCGTAGTCTTATTGAGACCTTCCTTCAATGTTTTAAATTTTCAAGCTTTTATATTTCGCTGAATTTGGTGGCCAGCTCCGTTTGTCTAAATTAACTTAATTTCGTGGCGGCCTAGGCGTCATTCATGTTCTTCATTAGAATTTACATCAGAAAATTTTCAGTGTCCTTTAGTCATTCGTGCATATTTTGCGCATTCTTATCCATGAATATTGTCGAAACGTGCCTGTTCATGAACCATGTTGTTGTTCTTTATTCTAGAATGGATCCATACCGCTGTATTTTGCTGTCATTGCTGGAAATCAACACGTTGTGAAAGAACTGCTCAGCTCACAAGCAGAACAACAAGTCAAAGTCACTAGAGGGGTGGGTACAAACTTAACACTCTTATGTTGCTTATTGGACCTCGTAGCTGGTAGTTGTTTCGTTGTTGTTGTTTTTGGAGACGGGTGTGCACAACGGAGTGTAATGCCGGCACCCTTTTAACACACTGAACATAAAACACAAGATCTAAAAGGAACGATTAGCATAGCAGGTTATTGCGCGGCCCTCTGTGCGGGAGCTGGTACCGAGTTCCAGTCCCAGGTGTGTTATGACATCAAATCTTTCTTTCGACTTCTTTCCTTTTCGTGTAGCACTGGCGGAAAGTGAGGGATAAAATGAGCGCACAGTTGGCCTCAGGTTTGTTAGTCAGATGACTATCTCGAGCTACCAGCGTAAAATATGGACTCTTCTTTCACATTTACCTTTACCATTGTAGGACACCAAACTGTACGTTACAATCTAACATGCCGCCCTTGATCAGAGTCAAGAGACGGCCTTGTCGCGTAATACGGTTGTGGTAGCGTTTCCCGGTCTAGTGAAACAGCTGAATATAAATAGTTTTGCTTTTACCCCCTGTGGCCAAACATTTTTAAGGTCTTTAACTTGAAATATATTATACAACTCTAGCTTCATGTATGACCAACTTTCTAATCTTTATAACTAGCAAGAAATACTCGGGAAAATATGATCACAGTGGCTTAATTTTTAGCGACATCCAAATTAAGATTAATTCAAGATTCAGTGGGGTGGTTACTAAAACCAAAGAATATGAATTTAACGTATCCAGACGCACAAGTAACCTTTCATAAATACCTTCTTATATGTCTCATTAGGATATCAAGGACACTGTTCTACACGCGGCTGTTAAAAAGAAGGACGTTGACATCGCGAAGATTCTCGTGGAATGTGGCTGCCCCGTCGATATACAGAATGTAAATGCTAATTTTTATCTTGTTTTCCTTTTAAATGTGCCAAAATAATCCCCACAATTCTTTTGGGTAAATCTTTTTATTCTTTCATAACAGGCCGAGGGACAGACAGCTCTTCACATTGCTGCTTACGAAGGAGATGAAACCATGATAAAGTTTCTTCAAACGGCCAAAGCTGACGCAAATATCGCTGATGCAGTAAGTTATCAAATGAAAGTGATTACAGGTGCATGAAGAAAATGGCAAGAAGGGCGGGAAAATAGTAATCGATAAAAACAAAGAGCTGCGGTTAACACCCAGACAACTCTATCTAAGTATAGTACAGTAAAGCACGAAATGACCGGGATTCTGGTCATACGCCACGGGAAAACTAGCCTGTTTTAGGCGTTCAGATAGTAAAGCGCGGAAGAAAAATTGACCAGGAGAAAAAAAACGAGGGGAGCCTCGTTTTTTCCCCTTGTTTTCCTGCGTGTGATATAACTCGCTCCTCATCATCTGAACGCTGCGCTCTACTATCTAAAAGCCTGGAACAGTCTACGGGAAAACAAGTTTGGTAAAACTTGCATACTGTACGTCCTGGCCGGCAGAACCAAAACTCAAAACAAAAAGATTGGAATTCAAAACGTTTTATCGTGTGTAAATACTTATTTAGTCGAGGGAGGGAGCACTAGCTGTGCAACTTGCTATAAGTATACATTAACAGGAAAAGACTGTTTAAGCCATATAGTGTGGCAGAGATTTTTTTTACTTGACAGCCTATTGTTTACGTGATTGTTTGCTATAAGTTACGATGTTTTGGTCGATTAAAAAAAGATCGGAGCAGAGTCAGCTATAACGACAACTAAGTGGAGACGAAAATGATCTTTGATCTTGGCTGTTGATTTTTAAAAGAAATAGCCATGGCTCAATTTTTTTTACTACTCGCGGATTTCTTTTTCATTAGAACGACCGCACACCACTGCACTTGGCGGCTCAACGAGGTCATTCTGCTGCCGCGGAATTCTTAGTGGACAAACTAAAATCGAACGTGAACTTGAGAACAAAGGTAAGGTCGGTATTTGCCATTATTTCTATTACGGTAGGAAGGATCTTTTTCCAAAATTGATGCTGAAAGGAAATTTGATAAGCGTAAAATTAAACCTCGTTACACAGTAACAAAACGTTTTTTGATTTATCTTCTCCAAGTGTTTAAGGCGTAAAGACTTGAAGACCAGAGGCTTTTCAAATGTTGCAAACAAACAACATTCGATGTAGCTTTCACTTTGTAGAAGAAAACAACATCAACTGGCTGGGAGTTGAGCTGTTAGCTGTTACAAACGTTCTCCCGCGAAAAGTTGGGCTCGAAATTAAGCCTAGCTGTGTTTAATGCGGAAACGTAACTCGGGTCACCTCGATTCAAGTCCAGTGTAATGTTCCCCCTCGACGACTTAAAACGGTCTCCAGTACCCTTAGGCTGGGTGAGGGTGACTGAGTCTTCTTACTAATATCCATAAAAAAGTTGTTATTTTCTATTTTTGGATGTTCCCTCCTTCAATTTGCAAAAGATCATTTGAAATATTGTTTTCATTTTTTGCAGGACGGTAGTACTCTAATGCATATTGCCTCACAAGCTGGTCATCCCGACACCGCACTCGTGTTCCTCAAAAAGGGCGTGCCCCTCCACATGCCCAACAAGGTAAGTACCGGTATCAAGAATAGTTCCTGTGCCAAGGCGCCATAGTCTAACACCGCAACCCTTGTCTGTTCATTTGATAGGAGGGTGCAGTTTGTCTCCACGCTGCCGCCAGAAGAGGTCACATAGGTGTAGTAAAAGCGTTGCTGTCAAAGGGAGCTTCAGTGGATACAAAAACCAAGGTGGAGCTTTGATTTAATGCCTTTGTCTGTCAGCAGACCGTGGATGATTTTTAATTGCTTTTCTCACACAATTTCTTGTACACTCAGGATCATTATACAGCACTCCATATAGCTGTCAAGCACTGTAAACCACAGGTTGTTCAGATTTTACTGGGATATGGCGCTAACGTACAACACAAGGGCGGCAAGGTGACTAGTAAATATTTACACTACTCCACTCCCCTATCTGTACTAAGCTCTACACTAACCCCTCACCAAAATCTCATTGTTAAGTGTATGATTGTGATCTTTCCTTTATGGTAGAACTGTTGGCGTGTTTTCCTTAAAATTCAGTGTGTTTTAATTACAGGCGGAAGAAACACCATTGCACATTGCAGCTCGAATCAAAGATGGAGAGAAAGTTGCTGAGATGTTGATCAAAAGTGGAGCGGATGTGAACGCTGCTAGTGATGTAAGAAAAAGTGTATTTTGCCGTTCATGCCAACAAACACAATTTCTTTTTAAACCGGTTTCTCTCGTTATCTGCAGAATGGTGAAACAGCTGTACACGTCGCGGCGAGATATGGGAACTTGAAAACGTTAAGACTTTTGATCAACGAAAAGGCAGACACTGCAAGAAGATCCAAGGTAATCGTTAAAACAATTCCCCTTAATTTGTAACTTTTTGGTTGCTGTTTTTGGTTTATAGAACAGGACTTTTTTTCGCGCTTTCGTACTGCTGCACAACAGCGTTGTTGGATGCGCTTGGGCGGGTTCCTTCGTCTTGCTTGTCTGGCGCTCGTCCCCCAGAACCCGTCTGAGCGCCCCCAGAAACGCCTGTTGTGCAGGCTAACTTCTTCGTTCCAAGAACAATAGTCTGTTTTCCGATTCCGTTTTAGAATGGTGAAACTTGCACAAAATTGATTAAGCGAAAACAAGTGATACACGTATTAGTATTTAAGTGTTTGGATTGCTATAAATGCAATACAAATGCTGTTGTTCCCGTTAGGGGTTATCTTTGAACTTCCAACGAAAAACTTTAAACATAACACACACACACACCTCAAGGCGTAAAAGTTTTTGTCATATTTTGTTTTGTTTGTAGAACGGCGAATCTGCGCTACATCACGCTATCCGTGCCGGGCACTACACAGTACTGAAGGAACTGGTGCAAGTTCTGTTCACAGTCAAGTCTAAGCCTGTCGCCAAACTGGTTGTTAATATGCCAACTGATGTGAGTCAGAAATGTATTTATTTATTTATTTATTTATTTATTTATTCATATGATTAATAATGATTATGTATAAAAAAGCTTACAAGCAACGGGCTATTCCTCTCCAGTGAGTAAACAAAATAAAACAAGATGAAGGATTGGGTAAACAATTTCAAACAAATCACGGTATCTTATCAACCTAATCCTTGACGTGATACCTTTACCCACGGCAATGGCGAAAAAGGTCTAATTCTTACAATTCTTTAACCTTGGGTAAATAGTAGACTGTGAGCAGTCTCCTTTGTCTTCAGATTTAGCAAGGGGAAAGCACGCGCGCGCGAGCGTTGAAGCTGCGAGACCGTGGTCATTTTTGTGTCTCGCGCGTTTTGCTCGACGTACAAAGAAAAAAGAGAGCCTGCTTGTACTTCTAAAATAGTAATACTATAATTTTATTTGTCTGGCTGACAAATAATGGGTAATTGCAGAAAGGAGAAACTCCCCTACATTACGCAGCCCAGCTTTCCAAGGCCAAGGTCAAAGGAACTGAGGATATCGACATCGTAAAGCTACTGCTTGAACACGGTGCCGACTGTACAGCGGTAACGCATCAGGTGCGTGTAACGATATTTATGTCATGTAGTGTTAATCAAGTTTACTCTTTCACTTGTACAGCAAAACCTTTAATAAATCAATTTGCTTTGATATTCAACGTTAAGATAACAATTAAATTAATGTTTACAATTATTTTTTAAATCACCACACATGGCTCAAATCACTTTCATTATTTTCTATTATAGTCCATGGAAATACCAATCCACGAGTGCGCACGCTCAGGAAATAACGACATCTTGATTGCTTTACTAGAGTCCATTCCTTCCTCTAAGCTTCAACTCACGGTCAACAAAAGATCTTCGGTAAGCTACTCTCCAATCACGAATGCAACTTAAAATTCCTTGTTGTCGAGTTTGTCTGGCTCCAATGTTTTTTCACTGTTGTGCCTGTTTCATACTTTTTCTGGCTTAATCGTCAACCCTTCAATGTATCCACTTTAGTAGTCAATCGACTCTCTTACACAGCCTTGAGGAAAACCAGCGGAGTTATATGATCTTCATATCGTTGGAATTTAAAATTCCTCCTTGAGTTTGAGGTTATAGTATAAATGACAGAGAAAAAGCTACCCTGGCAAAAGAGACAGCGTAGAAAGAAATGGCGGTTCAAAGGGATGGCAACGAATTCAACTCACTCTTAACATGAACGGCTTCTCCCAAACCAGTACTTTATTACTGAACTTCACACTCTCCAAGTTCGTGTCTAGCATCGTAATGCTGGACTTCATTTTAAATGAATTAATTAGTAGAACCCCGATAATTCAAACTCGGGTAACTCGAACTCCCCGCTAACTCGAACTAAATCTAACTCCCTTGGATCTCACCCAGCTTTTCAGTCTGATTTTTACTTGGTTAATACGAACTCGGATAATTCTAATTCCCTGCTAACTCGAACTAAATTTCCTTTCCCTTGATCAAGGATTCACCGAAAATTACCCTGATAACTCAAATTCTGGTTCTTGCAACTCTGCTCTGATGATAATCGTGTTAAAGCGTTTCTGATGAAATAAGTTTAACTTGCTCTGCAGTAGCACGATACACTGAAGTGCTGAAAAATCAATAACGATCTATTTTTAACACTGAAAATTGAATTTTACGATCGATCCCGTTAACTCGAACCCTCGCTAACTTGAACTGTTTTTCATTTCCCTTCAGAGTTCGAGTTACCGCGTTTCTACTGTATCTGCTTTAGAACTTAAAAGGTTTAGTCTGGTTTCAATTGGTTGCGTTGCACATTTCAGTATTTTGTGTTTCGTTTATTACAGGGAGGTTCATCGCCGCTGATTGTTGCCTCACATAAAGGGAACGTGGAAGTTGTGCGCACTTTGCTCAAGTATCACGCCAGAGTAGATGTGTTCGATGAGGTAAGCTCTACGTTATAGAATCTTGAAAACGTACTGTACAAAGTAAAATTGCTGTGAAATAACTTTCAGCTGTATAACTTCACTTGCAAAACTTGCGAGATACTCTGAAAACAGCCTTCCGCACGAACGAAAAAGCCATCAGTTATTCATCCCATTATTTAACTAGGAAGTTTGAGAGACGTAAAGGAGTAAGAATGGGAATGTTTTTTAATAGTTGACTGTATTTGAGGGTAAATTTAAAGACACACCTTACCGCAGGCTATGTTTATACTATAATACCGGATAGCTTTTTTCCCCGGCTTGAAAACCATACCGGGTATAGGGCTACTGTTAACACATCAGAACATGTACAGTGCTTTCGGGGTGATTTTTGTAACGAAGCGAAGCTGCGCCGCGCCGACAGTAAGCTTGAAAGTGGATCGTTACATATCGGATAGATTTCTGCCACTCTTCCTCTCAGTGTGAACAGGGTGTGAACGTGTATTTGGACCGTAGTGGAAGTGAATGAAGAGGAGCAAGGACTGGAACCCACTGAGACGAAAATGAAGACGCTGTCTTGGGAGTCGGGAGTGAGGATTGCAATTTAGGGCACCAAACCCTCTCGGCCAACCTCTCCGGTGCAATGTTCGATACGTGTGAACGACTCGTTCCAGTTCTGTGCCGTCGTCGTTCATACTGTACTGGATAGCGTTCGTTTAGGCACAAAAAGCTGTGCACTTTGCTGTTGAATGAGTGAAGTAATATACTTTTGAATTCTGAGTTTTAGTGTGTTTGCGAAACACAACTTGAGAAAAGTTGAACTCAATTTCTGCCTTCTTTTTATTTGATTCCTTAGTCCGGCCGAGCTGGCCTACATGTGTGCGCCGAACGTGGTCATCTTGAAGTCGCTCAGGAGCTGCTTGAACATAAGGCTTACGTGAACGCGAAAAGCAAGGTAAACGTGTAGTGCATATCAGTCACAATTTACTGCTGTTAGTGGAACATTGCTCACACAACCTTCGCTTCTTAATCTTCAGCTAGAAACGGACATCACCTACGTGTGGTTGCACAACCCTCTTTCAGTCCCTCCTCGGGGCAAACATCTTGCACTAAGCAATGTGCTTACCCACCTACTGGGTGCCTTTCTATTATCGTTGCCATAGAGTTAGTTTTTGCGCTTTCTTTTCGTTCTAGATACTCTTGCTCCAAGCAAAGGTGTACATCAATGGACCTTAAAACGTTAACTGCTGGTCATCTTACCAAACTTACGGGAGCAGCATCACTTGTTCCTGTAAAATTCCGAAAATTAGCCCCGCAATGTATAAGCCCCTCCAAATATAAGCCCCCCAGACTCGTAACGCAAAAAAACCTCCGTTAAATCGCGCCTCCAAATATAAGCTCCCCCGGAGCAAAAACGGTAAATTTCTTTCAACTATAAGCTAGCCCAATCGATTTTGAAACGCAAATTTCCCTCCGTAGCTAAGCCCCTCCGAATATAAGCCCCTTCAAAAAAAAAAGCCCGTCAAAAAGGGCCTTTGAAAAATATAAGCTCCTGGGCTTATTTTCGAAATTTTACGGTAGTTTTGTTTGTTGTTCTTCCTTGAATTGGAATTTGCAAGTGTTTTATCAACTGAACACAGAGTTGTTATACGTACAATTATGGCAGCTGTAATAAGGCTGAATAATTGAACTCTAAATAACGACACGTGTTTAGCGTTCCTTAAAGGTTATAGACTCATCATTTATGTCAGATTCTGGCCAGTAGATCTTTAAAATCCTTTTGAGATACAAATGTTGGAAGGTGTGTAGTTTGTTTTCATCGGCCCTAATAACGCGCCAGGTCTCAGAGCCACATAGCAGAACAGCAATCACGTTAAATTTGAAAATTCACTCCGTGGTAAGACTAGTGATTGAAAAGCTAACGTTTCGAGCACTAGTCCTTCGTCAGAGCGATTCTTTCTGATAAAGAATCTCTTTGTTTTGGTAAATTTACTTTATCAACTTACATGAAAAAAAAAAACACACACACACACTAATATTTCGTTTCTCCGCAACCGACACAAGCACTTTGGTCTGTTCTGAATCTAACCTCTTTTTTTGTTTTCAGGTTGGGCTCACACCTCTTCATCTGGCGGCAGAAAGTGGACATAAAGAACTAGTTGGTCTCCTTGTTACGAATTACAAAGCAAGTGTAGATGCTTTGACTCTGGTGAGATCTTGTTATTCTCTGATCACAATTCCTTCTATATTTCACCCATTCTGATATAACCTTTGCTTTTAAAATATACCAGATCTTTCCGTGCTGTTTCATGTTATAGCACTGACGATGTTGGGTGAAAAGTGTTTTTTGTGGATAGATTTGCAGGCGAAATTAATTGAACGAATGTAAACAAAATTTTAACAGGAAAAGAAGACAGCCCTGCATTTGGCTGCAGAAAAAGGTCGATTACAGGTTTGTGAACATCTGTTGGAGCTACGAGCCGACATCTGCGCGCTGGACAATGTAAGTTATATATTGTCTGATTTATTAAATTGTAGAACTGATATCAGTGGTTTGAGGCTGTTTTGGGGTGTGGAATGTCTGTACCGAGGTGATGGGGAGACTGTAGCTTAGACTGAACGTTATCGTCCATTTACAAAAAATGACCAAGCTTGACCAGAGTTAAGAAAGTGGTCCGAGAGAGATCTCCCAGTGTCAGTTCGTGGTCATACACTGTTTGTATCGAGAAACGTAACCTGTCCGATGTTTATTGTTTTCACGAGTGAGAGCTCATGTTACTTAATCTACAGCCTTATGATATGTAG